ATATTTTGTATTTTTGTTTTTCTGTGTACTATTTTGGGTGCATTTTCCAGGAAACTATCTTTTAAGTTATTCTCTAGAATTCATTTTATCTGTTATTTTTTTTTGATTAATTAAATCTTTATTGTTCAGATTATTACAGTTGTTCCTCTTTTTACACCCCATAACTCCCCTCCACCCAATTCTCACCCCACCCTCCTCCCTCACTTTCCACCCACTGTCCTCATCCATAGGTGCACGATTTTTGTCCAGTCTCTTCCCGCATCTCCCTCACTCTTTTACCCCCCAAGAATAGTCAGTCCACTCCCTTTCTATGCCCCTGATTCTATTATAATCACCAGTTCATTCTGTTCATCAGATTATTCACTTGATTTTCAGATTCACTTGTTGATAGATGCATATTTGTTGTTCATAATTTGTATCTTTACCTTTCTCTTCTTAAAGGATACCTTTCAGCATTTCATATAATACTGGTTTGGTGGTGATGAACTCCTTTAGCTTTTTCTTATTTGTGAAGCTCTTTATCTGACCTTCAATTCTGAATGACAGCTTTGCTGGATAAAGTAATCTTGGTTGTAGGTTCTTGGCATTCATCACTTTGAATATTTCTTGCCATTCCCTTCTGGCCTGCAAAGTTTCTGTTGAGAAATCAGCTGACAGTCGTATGGGTACTCCCTTGTAGGTAACTGACTGTCTTTCTCTTGCTGCTTTTAAGATTCTCTCTTTGTCTTTTGCTCTTGGCATTTTAATTATGATGTGTCTTGGTGTGTTCCTCTTTGGATTCCTTTTGTTTGGGGTTCTCTGCGCTTCCTGGACTTGTAAGTCTATTTCTTTCACCAGGTAGGGGAAGTTTTCTGTCATTATTTCTTCAAATAGGTTTTCAATATCTTGCTCTCTCTCTTCTTCTGGCACCCCTATAATTCTGATGTTGGTACGCTTGAAGCTGTCCCAGAGGCTTCTTACACTATCTTCGTATTTTTGGATTCTTTTTTCATTTTGCTTTTCCGGTTGGGTTTTTTTTTTTTGCTTCTTCGTATTTCAAATCATTGACTTGATTCTTGCGATCCTCTAGTCTGCTGATGGGAGTCTGTATAATATTCTTTATTTCAGTCAGTGTATGCTTATTTCTAGTTGGTCCTTTATCACAACATCGAGGGTCTCATTAGATTTCTTGTAGGTCTCATTAAGTTTATCGACAGTTTCTAGAAAATTCTTGAAAAACCTTAAAAGTTTGGTTTTGAACTCTATATCCAGTAGTTTGCTTTCCTCCATTTCTGCCATTTGAGTCCTTTTTCTTTGTCTACGCATTTTTTATGCTTCCCTGTGTTGATAAAGTGGTTTTCTGTGCTAAGTGTCCTCTAGGGCCCATTGGTTCAGCCTCCCCAATTACCTGAGGAGGACACTTTTGGTGCACCCCCTTGTGGTCTTTGTGCACAGTCTTGTTGTAGTTAAGCCTTGATTGCTGTAGGTATCACTGGGAGGAATTGACCTCCAGGCCAATTGGCTGTGAGAATCAGCTGTGTCTGCAGTGGGAGAACTTCTGTGCTGGAGACTCCCCTCCGGGGCAAGACTTGCTTTAGTGGGGCTTTGGTGCTCACCGAGTCTGCCCCCTGAGTGTGTCCTTTATGGTTCCATGGAGCTGCAAACTGGATGGTCCCACTCTGACCTCTGGGTACACCGGCTCCTGGATCTCTAGGGAGGTGCTAATCTAGCCTCTGCCTTAGGCTATCCAGCTAAAGCCTTTCTGTAGGGCTTGGGCGGGGCGGGTCCCACAGGATCAACAGGGCAGGGCTAGCAGTTATGGCTGCTCTCAGAGGCCCCACTTCTCAGTGTCCCGGCAATTGCTGTAAGCCCCTCCGAGAGAAAGCTGCCTTCGAGTTCTGACTGATGCCCGACAGTCCCGCTTCTCCCGTATGAGTCTGGGTCCCCAGAGACTCGCCAGATACTGGCGCTCAGAGCCTGAGACTCCCTCCCGATTGAAAATGACAACCGTGCCTTCAGCTGCCAGCCCGCTCCACGTGTGCCTCTGTACCTTAGTATTTTATTTCTGCACTGCGCCTCCTCTGAGTCTCGGTATGCTTTTCTCTTTTCTTCTAGTTGTAGAATTTCCACTCAGCCAGCCTTCCTGTGGTTCTGGATGATGGCCGTTCCGTCTTTTAGTTGTATTTTTGAAGTGGTTGTGTGGGGCAGCAAACTCCAGTGTTAACCTATGCCACCATCTTGGTTTCTCCTCATCTGTTATTTTTTTGAAAGTACATTTTTTGTCTACGGCCAGACCACCCTGAACGCGCCCGATCTCGTCTGAAAGTACATTTTCATTTCCAATATTTCCAGAATCTTTATTTTCATATGGGCTTGTTCTTCAGTACTGTGTGTTTTGGATAATTTCTTGCTCTTTTAAAATAGAAGTTATCCCTTCATTTATTTATTGAATATTCTAAAGTTATTTTAAGGAATAGCTATTGTTGGGCCAGATAGGTAATATCTCTTATCTTATATATGGCTGGGGGACCAGGACTGGCCTGGGAGAGATGCAGAACTAGGAATCAAGGGAATCATAGAAATAAAATCCAACACGGAGTCCAAATTGGAAACCAGTCAACTGAGGTATTCTGTAGAAAAGCTGATATGATCCAGGGGAATTACAAAGCAGAACAAGAAGGTCTGGACTGGATGGTAGAAGTTGGTGCCTTGAGCATTTCCCAGAGTTCCTGAGGTTCCTGGTTCCTTGGCAGTGGGCAGAGAGGGCTCTGTGGAGGGCATTTTGCCAGCCTTGACCTTGGTGAACATTCTTCTGACATTTGTTTTCAAATTCCCCAATTTAACAAGGAGCATTAAGTCTTGGTATGCAACACTCAAGCGAATGAATAGGGCTGGTCAACTGTTTATAGTTACAATAACCCAGAATCCAAATTAGGGAATTTCCTCTATGCCTTTACATAAAGTATTTCCTCAGTCATCTCATCTCCTACTTCCTTAACCCCACATATGTGGGCCTTCTACCATTCTGCCTACACATCCTTCAAAGTCCAGCACAAATTCCGCCCATTCAGTGGCACTGTACTGACCCCTTGTACACCTTGTGCCTAGTAGTTGCTCTAAGTATATTGAAGCTTCAAGAAAGGAAAGGTCCTTGTGAAATGCAATATTTGGAAATAAGTGTGGAGACTATAAGCAAATGCTGAGTTGGAAATATGGAGGGGGAGTGGAGATGGGGACCAGTAAAGTGAACAACTTTACTAGAACAAAAGATCTGTGCAGAAATTTGGAAAAACTTTTTTTTTAAAATATATTTTATTGATTTTTTACAGAGAGGACGGGAGTGAGATAGAGAGTTAGAAACATCGATGAGAGCGAAACATGGATCAGCTGCCTCCTGCACATCTCCCACTGGGGATGGGCCCACGACTAAGGTACATGCCCTTGTCCGGAATCGAACCCGGGACCCTTTAGTCCACAGGCCGATGCTCTATCCACTGAGCCAAACCGGTTTCGGCATGGAAAAACTTTTAAGGTTAGATTCAACTAGAAGGGTGTGGGCCAGGTCATAGGCAACCTTTCAAGCTGGAAGATTTAATCAAGATGGAACATGAGTTAGATTAAGATTTGTTAACAGTCAAGAGCCATTGTAAATTCAGGGAAGGAAGGATGTTTCATAGTGAGATGGCTTACTCTGATCCCAGACCCGACTTCTCTGATTGGTTGGTTTTGGTAGAACCTCTATATGCCAGATCTGTGACAGTGTTGGGGAGTATGACTGAACTAGTATTTGTTGTACTGGTATTTTAGTGCACTTGATAAGAAAATAGGAAAATATCCCCATCTCCTGCTTTTCCCCCTTACATGGTGAATTTCTCCTACAGGATACTTGACCCTAGACTGCAGCATTATCTATAAGCCAGTCTTACATTGCTTATGGTCCTGTGGTGGGGAAGAAAATGCAAGTATATGAAATCCACCTTTACTCTTAGATCAAGTAGTTTTCACTTACTTTACCTCTGTGTCTCCAAGTTTTTTTGTGTGAATGGGTAGATCACAAAAAGATGACTTTTGCTTTAATTCTCTTTTTTCTTTTTCTTTTCCCTGCTCAGCCATTGTGGAGTAAATTAACCCTAATATACTTAAAATGTACTTTAAATGTATTTTCTTTGAATATGTATAATCTGTATAACTATAGAGCATAAATTACCATTAAGTATACAGTTATGTTCTCTCTGTGGATACCGGAGTTTTGCAGTACTATAGAACATCTGTGAGAGCTTGATTAACCATTTTTAGGACATTTTGAGTGTTGGTATAAGCCTCAGTAGGAAAGCTTATTTTGCAGATAAGACACATGCTTTATATGCTTTTTAAGAATAGAATCTTCAATAGCTTCAAATCCTAAAACCCATAATAAACAGAAAAGTAGAAAGTGAGACATTTTTTAGTTTTTCTCCCTCCAAATGTAAGGATATGTATTCTTTCCTAACAGTGATAATATGTATTTACTAGAGGCCTGGCAAAAGAAATCGTGCATGGGTATGGTCCCTAGGCCTAGCCTGCGATCAGGGCCATCTTCCCCAGCTGCCAGCAGCCAGCCCCGCCCCCCACTGCCACCCACCCCGGTTCCCCATTTGCCATCCAGTGATGGGAGCCTTATGGCTGGGGGAGGGACTGAGAGGTCGGCCGTTCCCACCCGCTTGCCGGCCCCAACCCCGCCGCCAGTTGCCCTCTGTGTGTGGGGTGACTGGTGGGGCAGGAGCCTTGGCCTGGCACCGCCTGCATTTCCCCGCCCCCCTCCTCCCCCCCACCCCGGGTCCCGGTTCGCCATCGGTGATTGGAGCCTGCCAGCCGGGGAAAGTGACCAAGAGGTGGTCAGTGTACCTCATTGTGACTGGTCAAGTGGTAGTTCTGGTCGTTCTGCCTTTGTGGTTGCTGGGCTTTTATTATATAGGATAGTTTGTACTGCTAACTTTTGGTACCTGATAATTCCAAATGTTCACTTTAATTATGCCGTTTAGATGCCCTAATGTGAGTCTGCAAAAGCTACCAGAACAGTGGTTACGGAATGTTTTAGAGGAAATTAAATGCAGTGATCCTTCATCTAAACTCTGTGCTACAAGGCGCAGTGCTGGAATTCCTTTCTACATACAGGTACGTATCTGCAGGACCATAACTGTTTGTTTATTTGTCTTTTGATAATAGCATATTCTGACCCGCTTGAGGGAGTATTGCATAAGAGACATTTCTGTCTTTTCAGTACTATAGCATTTGTAGCTTTGTTTTAATGTGGGGACAGTATGTTCCTGGACAGATCTGTTCTTGGAAAAAACCCTCGAAGAGGTCAGCCTTGAAATGAACAGAGGGTGGTATAGATTTCTGCCTGTTCATTAAGTAGACTGACATCACTGTGGCACATTCATTGCTCACTTCGAGGAAGTACACATGTTACCTTTTTTTGAATTATAAAAACATAGTCTTTCTCTCATTTCAAGACCCTTAAAACTCTAAGGCAACCAGTTTCTTTTAAACCCTTTCATAAAATGTCCATGTATAAAATAATCTTAATAGTCACTAACATTTGTAAGTACTTTTTTCACACATATTATCTCATTTAATCCTTCCTTAAGCCCTACGGAATAGGTCCTGTTATTGTCTATGTATTATAGATGAAGAAACTGGAGCTTATAAAAGTTAAGTCACTTGCCAAAGACCACAGAGGTAGGAGCAGAACTAAGACTTAAGCCCAGGCAGTCTGACTCCTGAACCCCTCTCCATATGAGAATGCGTGTCTGTGTTTTCTTTTTAACACAAACGAAAGCATATTATATACATGGTTTTGCCCCTTACTTTTTTCACTTAATATTATACCTTAAAGATTGCTCCATTACAGCTTATCCAGGTATTGCTATTGGAAATGAAAATACTTTATTTCCATAATGCTGAAATTAAGAGACTACCACCTTCATGAATCCAAAGAATAAAAACCAAAGTCCTCATAGTACTAAATCAGGAGAAACTGAGTAGCTTGAAACTTTTCATTCTTGGGAGCCATAGCTACATACCTATGAAATACAGCTGTTACTTGAAGCCCTCCACAACCACTAACCTATTTTCTATCTCTGTATATTTGCCTATTCTGGACATTTCATATAAATGGAACCGTATAATGTGATCTTTTGTATCTGCTTTAACTTAGCATAATGTTTTCAAGGTTCATCCATGTTCTAGCATGTATCAGTACTTCATTCCTTTTTATTGTCTCAGCTGATTTGATATCCTATTTTTATGTTTATTGAACATTGGCAAAATGTTAATACAAAATAAATAAGCATCTCTTGAAAATTCAAATATAGGTCCCCTTTCAAGTTTATAGTATTTTCTTTTGTCCTGTGGCATTCTCATGCTACAATTTGATAGTCCTCCAGATAGACTCTTGTGTGAAGAATTTAATAACTGATCAATCTCCAGGGCATTCCCAAGTTCTTAAAATAAATTTAATCTTGAGGTTTGGGTTGTGTTTTTTCCATGTGTTTTCATTTATTTCAGAGAGAGAAAGGGAGAGGAAGGTAGAAACATCAGTGAGGAGAGAGAATCATTGAGTGGCTGCCTCCTACATGCCCCCTATGGGGGATTAAGCCCGCAAAGCTGGCGTGTGCCCTCCCTGGGAATCGAACCATGACCTCCTGGTGCATCGGTCAATGCTCTACCACTGAGCCATACCAGCCAGGCTTTTTGTTTTTAAAGAAGGAGTATTTTCTTGTTGGGGAAATTTGTTACTAAAACCGACTTGCTTATTTTATCTGAGACCTGCCACCTAATTATGGTCCTAAAAGGGTTGTCAACAAGAGCCATTCTCAACCTCTTAGAATTATATAATTAACAAGCAAACTACAAGTGACCTTAGAGATCCCATGATATCACCTTTACCCAATTTACAGTTGGAGAATCTGGGAGATAGATTAAATTACTTGCTCAAGGCCACGTGGCTTAATGAATATGCTTGATATCACATGTTTTTATAGAGGGGATTTTGCATTTTGGGATTGATTCTGGGAAGTAGCAAAATAAGAGTCTTGTTAATTTTTGCCTTATTTTTCCATAGGCACTGTTGGCATCTGAACCTAAGAAAGGCAAAATGGATTTGTTGAAAACAACAATGAAAGAGTTAATCTCTTTGGCTGGGCCTACTGATGACTCACAGAGTACAGTTCCCCAGGTAATAATAGAAGTACACAAACCCTGCTGGGAAGGCAGTGGTTTTAAATCTTTGCTGTACTTATAAAGAAAAAAAACTATCCACTAAAGATATAGAACTCTTGAAGATAGAACAGACATTTGAAGCTTATTTTGATTTGCTTGTTTGTTTTGTTTCATTTTGGTTTTTCTGTCCACAAAGTAAATTATTGTTTTAATTGATATATATTGACCAAAATGAACTACTTTTAAACTCTTGTGAAAACATCCAACTTGGATATTTTGTGATACTATTGCATCTCAAAATTTAATAATGAATGTGCTTTCACTTTAAAATTTTACCTTGCTTGATCTACATTTTGTAACTGAGTTGGATCTTTCCCTAAAATGTAGTGTCTGACTTTTGGTATATTTGGATTTTAATTTTAGCTAATATTTAGTCCCTTTATTCATGTTAAAGGTGGGTCAAGTATGTGTGTGTGTGTGAGTGTATGAAGTTGGGTTAAGTACTCCTCACAGCTCCACTCCACACCACTCCACTCTACCCCATTCCACCATGGTAAATGCCTGCCAGATACTTCTTTTCTAGGCTTTCTCAGTAAATGCTTCATTGTAGGACATTCCTACTCAATGTGGAAGGTTTATGTTACGTCAGGGAATAGACTGAAAGTTGAAAATGTACAATAAGTACATATGGTTTCATTAATCACCTTTCAGGAATGATAATTTTAAGATATTTTCCAATAAAATGTGAAAAATATAACTGCTTTGATTGTCCTAGACTATCACTTATGAAAACATCTAACAATAATGGAGTTTTTCCATCCCTTTACTTTTATCCTTTATGAGTCTTTTGTTCCGAGGTGGTTCATGTTCTCTTATCCATTCAGCTACCCTGTGTCTTTTGATTAGAGCAGTGATGGCGAACCTATGACACGTGTGTCAGAGGTGACACACAAACTCATTTTTTTGGTTGATTTTTCTTTGTTAAATGGCATTTAAATATATAAAATAAATATCAAAAATATAAATCTTTGTTTTACTATGGTTGCAAATATCAAAAAATTTCTATATGTGACACGGCACCAGAGTTAAGTTAGGGTTTTTCAAAATGCTGACATGCCGAGCTCAAAAGGTTCTCCATCACTGGATTAGAGCATTTAATTCATTTACATTTAAGGTTATTGATAGGTCCTTATTTATTGCCATTTTATTTTTTAAAATATATTTATTTTTATCGATTTCAGGGAGAGAGAGAGATAGAGACATCAATGATGAGAGAGAATAATCGATCAGTTGCCCCCCCCTCCCTCCTAGGGATTGAACCTGCAACCCAGGCATGTGGCCTGACCAAGAATCAAATCATGACCTCCTGGTTCATAGGTGAACATTCGACCACTGAGCCATACCAGGCAGGCCATTTTTATTCTTTATGCCTGTGTTTCTCTCTTTATTTCTTATTATTACAGCAGTCCCTTTAACATTTCTTGCAATGCTGGCTTGGTAGTAATAAACTCTTTTAGCCTTTTTTTTGTCTGGGAAACCCTTATTTCATCATCTATTTTGAATGATAGCCTTGCTGGATAGAGTAGTGTGGTTTCAGATCCTTGCTTTTCATTACCTTGAATACTTCATGCCATTCCCTTCTGGCCTGTAGAGTTTCTGCTGAGAAATCAGCTGACAGCTTTGTGGGAGCTCCTTTGTAGCTAACAAATTGCTTTCTCTTGCTGCCTTTAAGATTCTCTTTGTCTATAATTTTTGTCATTTTAATTATGATGTGTCTGGGTGTGAGCCTTTTTGGGCTCTTTTGGCTTGGGACTCTCTGTGCTTCCTGAACTTGGGTGACTTTTTCCTCCACCAGGTTAGGGAAGTTTTCTGCCATTATTTCTTCAAACAGGTTCTCTATCCCGTGCTCACTTTCTTCCCCTTCGGGCACTCCTATGATGCAAATATTGTGTTTCATGTTGGCCCACAGCTCCCTTAAATTGTCGTCCTGTTTTTTTTTGTTTTTTTTTATTATTGCTTAAAGTATTACAAAGGGTATTACATATGTGTCCTTTTTTTCCCCCCTGCCCTTGACCCTCCTGTTTTTTTTAATTGTTTTTCTTTTTGGTTCTCTGATTGAGTGATTTTTTTCTACCCTGTCTTAATTTGATCCGATCCTTGGCTTCCTCTAATATACTGTTTATTCCTTCCGGTTTTATTTTGTTGTTGTTGTTAATTCTCAACTGAGGATATTTTTCCTTATTCTTCTGAGAGGAAGGAAGGGAGACACACAGAGAGAAACATTGATGTGAGAGAGACACATCGATTAGTTGCCTCCCACATGCACCCTTACCTGGGGTTGGGGATTGAGCCTGCAACTGAGGTATGTGCCCTTGACCGGAATTGAACCTGGGACCCTTGTGTCCATAGGCCAACACTATCCATTGAGCCAAACCAGCCAGGGTCCAGTGTATTTTTGTTTTTGTTGTTAATTTTCATCTGAGGATATTTTTTCCATTGATTTTTAGAGAGAGTGGAAGGGAGGGAGAGGAAAAAAGGAGAGAGAGAGACAGAGAGAGAAAGAGAGAGAGAAATATCAACATGTGATGTTAGAGAGACACATAGACCCACTGCCTCCTACATACACTCTGACCAGGACTGGGAATGGAACCTGCAGCCCAAGTATGTGCCCTTGACTAGGAATAGAACCTGAGACCCTTTGGTGTGCGGGGCAATGCTCTAACCATTTAGCAGCACTGGCCAGGGCCAGTATATTCTTTTTTCTGCTATGTTATTTTTCATTCTAAGTGGTTGTTTTTCATAGTTTTCTATATCTTTTTTCATGCTGATGAGCATCCTTATCATAGTACTCTGAACTCTATATCAGATAAATTGCTTATTTCCATTTTATTTAGCTCTTCTGGAGAATTCTCTTGTTCTTTCATTTGCAGCTTGTTTCTTTATTTTGTCTGCCTGTTTTGGGTTTGTTTCTATGTATTAGGGAGATCTGCTATGACTCCCAGTCTTGGTAGGGTGGCATTATGTAGTACATGACACTTAGCATATTCATGTTCAGTTTTTTTTAATACAAGCATTATTTTTTTTTAAGTACCACTTAATGTGCATCCCATGTGTTGATATGTAGCACTGTCATTTATTGCCCAGTTCTAAGTATTAAAAAATTTTTCTTTGACCAGTGTTTTAAAATGTCAGTTTTAAAAGTATTTTAAGAAAATAAATTTGCAACTTTATTCCACTGTGATCAGAGCATAATCTATAAGATATTAATTATTTGGTATTTGTTGAGACTGTATTTGTGGTTAAGTTTGAGGTAATTTTAAAAAATGAATGTTTCATGAAAGAGTGTGTTGTTTCTATTAGGTGTAGGATTCTACATGTCTGTTGGATCAAGCTTTTTTTATTACATTGTTCAAATTTACTAACATTGAAAAAGTTGATTTATCAATTATTAGGTATGTTTTATTAAAATCTGCTATTTCATTAGTGGATTGTTTCTTAAATTTCATAATTTTGTTTTGTTTTGAAGCTATGCTATTAGGTATGTACACACTTTTAAAGCTGATAGCTACATTGATGTTTCTTTCTTTTCAGATCTAACCTATTGAACTTAATAATTATTCAAAGTGTGTATATATTTTTTGGGGGACACCCTGTATTTAGAATTACCACAGTCTTTAACCCACAACTAATTTTGAACTTATTAATTCTAGGTTCATGCTTTAAATATTCTTAGAGCCTTGTTCAGAGATACACGTCTGGGAGAAAATATTATTCCTTATGTTGCTGATGGAGCTAAGGCTGCAATTCTGGGCTTTACATCACCAGTCTGGGCAGTAAGTGCTTTTGCCATTTATTTTCACTGACTTAATTATACTCTCAGTAGGTTTTAATAAACTAACCATTCACTGAATGATAAAAATATGTACTACATTTTATCAAAGAGTTTCTTCAAAGGATAAACCCTTGGATTGGGCTACATTTTCACTCATGGTATTTTATTATTGCATTCTAGTCCTTTGTTGGCTTATTAGCCATAATTTTGTTTTCTTATTTTAGTGATTGCTTTAAGGTTTATATCTTTAACATCACACTCTACCCTCAAGTGATATTATACCACTTTGCTTAAAGTGTAAGAACCTAGCACACATACTTTCATGTTTCTCCTCTCAGTCTTTGTGATGCTATAAATTTTGCCTTTATGCATATTGTAAACCCATGCTATATTGTTATCATTTTTGCTTAAACTATCAACTATCCCTTTTTAAAAAATATACCATTTCAACCATTTTTAAGTATGCAGTTCAGGGACATTAACTACATATACCAGGTTGTGCAGTCATCACCATTGTCCATTTTGAGGACTTTTTCATCATCCCAAACCAAAGCTCAATAACCATTAAATAATAACTCCCCTTCCCTTCCTTCCCCTAGCACCTGATAACCTGTGCTCTACTTTCTATCTCTATGAATTTGCCTATTCTAAGTACCTTTTATAAATGGAATTATACAATATTTGTCTTTTTGTATTTGGATTATTTCAGTTAGCATAGTGTTTTAAGGTTAAGCCATATTGTAACATGTAGCATAATTTCATTCCTTTTAAAGGCTGAATAATATTCCATTGTACGTATATATGATATTTTGCTATTCATTTATTTGTTGGTAGGCATTTAGGTTCTTTTTGGCTTTTGTGAATAATGCTTCAGTGAACGTTGGTGTATAAATATCTGTTGGAGTCCCCGCTTTCAGTTTTTGTGTGTAAATCATATGGTAATTTTATGTTTAACTTTTTAAGGAATGTTTATATTGCATAGTGGCAGCACCATTTTTCTACTCCCATCAGCAATACAGAGAAGTTTCATTTTCTTTAGATTCTCACCAACACTTGTTATTTTCTGGTGTTTTAAATTTTTTTTTTAATTTTTATTAAATAACAATCATTCTAATGGGTGTGAAGTGGAAGCTCATTTTGGTTTTGATTTCCATTTCCCTGATGATTAGTGATGTTGAGCTAGAAGCAAAATGGCTCTTAGTATCTTAATGTCTTTCTTTTGGATGCTGTGGGCTCTGGGTATCAGTGTGTTGAGTGATTGCTATAAATATACTCCATCAAAAGGTGAAAAACAAACACAACATGAAAATGGGTGAGGTTAAATATTGAGTCACTTTTTTTTTTTGCACTCCAGAAACTTTTTGATTCAGAACTCTAAAGATAGTGGACAATGGCCAGTATAGTTGTTGGATTTAAGGAAGTAACCTTTTACATGTTTTTTTTCATGATTCTTGGGAAAAACATCATGATTTTATTATCCTGTATTATTATGCCTTCTAAAACAAAGGAGACAAATGTATCACTTGTAAGTGTTTGACATCTGGCTTTAAAATAAAACTGGCAAGGGGAGAGGAGAAAAAAACAAACTAGACCTTAATACATTACCTGAGGAACGAAGAATTTTCTAGGAAGGCAAGCTTTCCAATTAGCTACACAAACATTTCATAACTTTATGATATGCCTCATTGAGAGTCAGTGTACTGCAGTGTAGGCAAAGGCACAGATGCCCAGTGTAAAGTGGGATCCTCAAGGTTGCCACCTCTTGCCTGGAAAATTGTGCATCTTCCTGTAATAAGCCGTCTGAATTCCGTCTAGCAGCATTGCCTAACTACGTTGGAGGACACCGTGTTTACCTTATGCATTTACAGGAAGTGAAGCAATACCTCTGTGCTGTCAATTGAATCACAGAGGTAGGAATGTGGCTTTACCATCGGGAACAATAGAGATCATAAAACTGATTACCAGAAATATCAGTATTGTTTATTTCAAGCCATTAGTTCAAAGTGAACAAAAAATTGTTCTCTATGAAAGGTTTTTCAGAGTGAAACCTGGTGACTTTTCCAACTTTTTAGCAAAACTCAAAGTATCAGATTGTTTCATTTATTTAAGAAGTCTTTTTTGAGACCTTTTTAAAAGTAACACATGTGCACTACAGAAATTTTGAAAATAAAGGAATGCATAAAAGTACAAGTCACCTTTTAACTATCACACAGATGTAATCATTAGCATTCTGATGCATTTTCTTCCTCTTTTTCTATGTGTGTAGTATTCACATGTGTGTAGTATTCATATGCACATATGTATACATGAAAGACTGCATAAATATATGTAAGTGCTTATTTATAGTTTTATTTGGGGGGAAATCTTTTTAACACTGGTTATAAAGGAATCTTCTTGTTTCAATTCAGTTTGTTTGCTTTACTAGAGAAAATAACTATAATGATCCATATATTTATTTAAGATATCTAATATATCTATTTAATATATTGATTGCTATGTTTTCTTCCTTATGAAAACATAAGATACACCAAAACTGTAAATCAACATAATGAATGTGACGAAGTCTTCATTTTACAAAGCAGTTTATCACAGCATTCTCTGTTGAAGTCATTCAAAGGCTAATTTTCTTTTCTGAATGTGAAATATAGTTTGATTTACAGAAGTCTTATTTGTACACATTTTCTGAGGAATATATCTTATGCAGTGACTACACCTATACTCATGACAATTATTTTTTTCTGATAAGTTAAAGAGGAAAAAGCACAAGTAAAATGAACTTACTTTTAGTTTTATAGTATAGGAACATTTTCCAGGAAGATTTCATAATTTGTTTTTACAGATTCCTCAGTCTTTTGTATTGAGAACATACAAATTTCTTGGTCTTTACCACCTATTAGGCATTTTTAAAATACAGAAGAAATGTATTGTTGTAAACATATCAGCATTAAGCACACCTAGGTGTTGCTGATGATATATTAAGCATTAGAAAAAGAGGGATAAATAAGACATAATCATTATAATGGCTGTCTTATTGGGTATTTTCCATGTGCCTGGCATCATTTACATTGATTATCCCACTTAATGCTCAGAACAGCCCTGTGAGGTAGATTGTATTATTTTAATTCCCATTTTTCAGATAAGGAAAACAAGGCTCAGAGGTGAAATAACTTTGTCAAAGGGCACACAACTGTTATCCTTCGGACTCTAGAACCTGTGCTGTTATACGGGAAACTTTTGGGTGGTATAGGAATACAGAGAAGGTGCATCTTACCTACCTTATAGGGTTTTGGTCCCTTCGAGAGCTGGGGATATAGCCTAGGTGCTAAGGTTTTATTGAATGGTACAAACCCAAGGCAGCAAGAATGAAGGAAAAAGGGAAGTGAGGCAAGGAAAGAGGAAAGACATTACCAAGCAGGCCTGAACCTTGCAGGAAGACTGAGCTGATTGTATAGTCATGTGATATATCTTCTAGCCAGGCCATGTGAAACTTACCACCTCTTGGAACAGTCTCGGCTCCTGTCTCTTATTGGTCAAAGTTCACCCCTTGGGGCATTAACCCAACTTGGGCAGGTGTTAGCACAATCCTTGGTCAGCTGCTAGAGAAGCCAGATCCCATTCCCTCTGATGTAGCATCTCATCCGTGTCTGGACATGACTGACTGAGCCACGGCCTGCGTGGATGTCGTTGGGACAGACCTGGAGTTGGGAACTGTGGCTCCCACATTGTTTGAAAACTCTGCACATTGTAGGGGAGTAATAGATCTGACTGATGTGCTTAAAAGTAGAGACTCAATTATAAGGTGGTAAGAGGGAAGAGGAAGAACAATCAGGAAGCTATCGTAATAGTTCTGCCAAGAGGTGATGGTGGCTCAGAATAAGGAAATATTAGTAAAGATGGTGACAACCGATAATCTTTTATATATTTTAGAGATGAAGCTAGTTTAGTTAAAAATTTAGGTAACAGAAAGTAACTTATTGGTGCACATATATGGAAACAGATTTTCCTGGGCAGTGTTTGGAAACAGGCATTACTGGGCATTCCCTTTTTTGTGTTCAGTGACTGTTGAACACTGAAGCTCCTCTCCCTGCATCCTCATTGCAGGGCAGGTAACGCCTCCTTCCAGCTTGCCCAGCATTCCACTGAGTAGCCACCTCAGGGTCCTTCTAAGACTCACATTGGGTTTTTATTTCTATCTGGTGTATCTTTCATTTGCTTCCCTCAGGCCAGTTCTGCTTCACATTTTGCAGTGGGTTTCAGAGGAAAAAGAGCCTTTCAGACCTTCCCGGTAGCCCTGCCACATGTCCTCTGTGCTCTGTTGGCACCAGCGTCTCCAGGCCCTGTGGTAGTTGTGAAGTTGCCACAAGGATGCCAGGCTGAGGGCTGTGTGGCGCTGAAACCCAGGCATACTCTACCTTTTAGGCTACATGCCTTGGCATGAAGCTTGATTAACTCACAGGAAGAGAACTTCTTTTCTAATTCACGCATAGTTGGTGTATGGGCTTCTGAAAGTGTAATATGTATGAATGACCATATCACATAGTGATTGCACACCGAAGGCTGATCCATGTTAATATTATTAAATGACGTTATGTGACTTGTGCCTCCAGCCTAATGAGGAGGTGCCCATTCACTTTGTAACACAGTCTCTAGGCACTCCTGTTTTAACACTCCTGCATTTGGCAGCCTTTGTCAGAAAGTTTGGTTTTGGGCAAGATGGAGTTTGTGTGATTCCTCAGAGGAGACGGGGTCCTAGGTGACCAATTCATCTTAAACCTATGATTCTTTAGAAACTAAATCAGTAGACTAGGTAAGAGATAATCAAGACCTCAGTTAGGTGATGCTTGATAGAGTTAACAGGACAGATTGGTTTGTTGTTTGGGGATATTAGGCAGGACACATAGTAGGGACTTCATTAATGTTTGTTGACTATTGAATGGACACAGTGAATTCATTCAGTTTTAGGGTTTCATTGTAATTTTGGTATGAATTGTGCCAATGTATATGTAGTCCACTTCTAGAGTTACCAGGCATGAATTGAATCACTCTTGAACTTCTAGAGGAGAGGTTGCATACTGGTGGCTGATTGGTCAAATCTAGTCTGCAACTGTGTTTTATTTGGCTTCCACGATGGTTTTTCCCCCCTTTAATTTGTTGCCAACATTTCAAAATAGTGAGATTTCACATAAAAATCGGGGTTTCTGGCTTCTCTTGAAAAAGGAAAAAATCGGGCAACACTGGGCTTACATGGCATCAACTCAGTTGAAGCTGAATAGTGACTTCATCAGACCAAGTCCTCTGCTGCTCCTCATAGCACTTGAGTTTATGACCCTGACTGCGGGGGGTTTATAAGCTATTTTCTAAATCTTATATTGTTACTTTTCATTACCTTTCTTATATTGCTCTTGAAACGTGCCATATGGTTGAGACACCTGTCTTATTAGAATATAAGTTCTGTGTTGACAGTAAGTTTATGTCTTCTAACTTTGAATATCCTCTGTGGTGTTGGTATATACACACGGTAGCAAAGTCACTACATATTTGTACATCTCTACTCTGATTTGGCAAGGTAATTGAAGAAGCCCAATCATTCAAAATATTTTTATGATATAGCAGAGCATTTTGATACATTGGTTTGGAAATAGATAATGCTCTATTATCATTTTGAAGAAATTCATATTTATTAATGATAGTTCTTTTCTCCTTATTTTTATTAACTAGTTGTCTCAGATAATTTTATAGTTAAAATGACTATTAGGTTACTGGCATTGTAGCATTAGTAAACAAAATCTTGGATGTTAAATATTATCTTGGCCATATTAGTAATGTGGATTCTTCTTTTTTTTTTTTTTATTGCTTGAAGTATTACAAAGGGTATTACATATGTCTCCTTTTCTTTCTTTCTCTCTTTCTTTCTTTCTTTTTTTTAAAAAAATATGGAATGCTTCACGAATTTGTGCGTCATCCTTGCACAGGGGCCATGCTAACCTTCTCTGTATTATTACAATTTTAGTATATGTGTTGCCTAAGTAAGCACTAATGTGGATTCTTTTAGTTAGACCTTATAAATATTCTCTCATGGTAAAGGATTACAGAAAGGATATGGAAAATTAATTGTTTCTTTAAAGAAGTGTTATGTGGTGATACAAATACAAATAAATAATGAAAACAATTGGTAGTAATATAAGTATCAGAAAGAGCTATGTGTGTGCAAGTATTTGGATTATAGAGTTCAGTTTAAGATGAAGTCATTGAGTCATTTACTGTACAGTTTTTTAAAATTATCTTATTTTTATGAACATAAACCAGATTTTCTTTAGCCCTGCACTAGGCAATTGAGTAATGATTTTGAATGTCTAGTTTGAACATTGAAAGTGTTGGTTTCATGCTATGAATCTTTCTTAACTCTTATTGTGTATTTCTTTTTACTTTAGGTGAGAAATTCATCCACACTTCTCTTCAGTACCTTGATCACAAGAATATTTGGAGTTAAAAGAGGAAAGGATGAACTTTTCAAAAAAAATACGTAAGTTCTGTCTAATGCTAACTTTACTTTTAAAAAATATTTCCAGGCTAAAAATAATTTTTAGAATTTTGCTTACTTTTATAGAATCATCTGGAGCATAAAACTATGAAAATACTATAGTAAATTAACCTACACTGCCAATTTCTAAGGTCTTGGGGAAAAATACCTGCTTTTTAATAAGTAGATTTTTTAAAGCAATGAAAATATAGCAAGGTATCAGGGACTGAAATGTAGAACTTTTCTCAGTGCAACAGCTAGTTTTTTATTTTATTTCTTTGCATCTTCAGCTATTCCTGAAATGTCCTAAATTGCTTTTTCTTGATGTGTCATTGAATACTAGCTTGTGCAATATCTTTCTTTTATAGCTGGAACTTTAAATGTTTATGATACAGTCATCAGTAACATGTCCCAGATTAACTTTGCATTAAACTCTGTAACCAAGAGGAGCAGTTACAGATGTTGGCTACACAGAATAAACAATGCTTTTCACCTTTAGGACTTTCATGTTATCTTAACCCTCTAAGATGTTTTTTTTCTCAAGGTTTTTAACGTTTGGAAGGAAATCTACTGAAACACTCTGATTAAGGGTAATTTTGAGATACGGTGCACAAGTTCTGTTTGTTGGTTTTTAAAGAGGAGAAGCTTTGGGTAGTTGTTTCTTTAGCATTTAGGTTAGTGGTAGTCTAGTGGCTTGCAGTTGTTAACACTAGATGTCGCTGCCGCTGCATATTTACTTTCTTCATTTAGGATCCAATTTGGTCCAGTGTTCTTTCTCTTGATCTAGAAATAAATCAGGCCCTATTTCTCTTCTACCTAAAAATGTTGATTATCACACTTTTAACTTAGGGTTTAAGCTTTTGTTTATTAAAACGTATTTTCTTGTTATGGAACTAAGTCTTAGGAATTAGAACATATCATGAAATAATTTTATGATGTACTGTTGGTAATTCTATTGAAACCTACTGTTAGTTTTTTTTTAAAATTATTTATTTATTTATTTATTTATTTATTTTATTGCTTAAAGTATTACAAAGGGTATTACATATGTGTCTTTTTTTTTTCCCCCACCCTTGAATTTTATTGATTTTTTATAGGGAGGAAGGGAGAAGGATAGAGAGTTAGAAACATTGATGAGAGAGAAGCATTGACCAGCTGCCTCCTGCACACCCCCTACTGGGGATGTGCCTGCAACCAAGGTACATGCCCTTGACTGGAATCGAACCTGGGACCCCTCAGTCCCCAGGCCGACGCTCTATCCAGTGAGCCAAACCGGCTAGGGCCCTACTGTTAGTTTTGAATTGTTATTTAAATTATTACTTATCACCCTATAAAATTCACTAAATATTTAAAAGGAAGGCAACTGGCTATAAGTATGAATCCCCTGAGTATATTCAGCAAATACCAGAGATATTTTTTAGCCAAGTTGTATTTTTAAAATAATAATATTTTTTAAAAGGATGATTATAATTTTTACTATTTAGCTGGTTCCTAGAGAAATTCTTCCTGTCAGTAGTTTGAAATCACTAATATTTGTTTCTCTTTACTTAGCTTTGTTTATTTTGTTAATCTACAAAATTCCAAAACGTTTAAAACAATTTGGTCATATTATAAGGCCATGATAGTAGTATAAATAAAATATGATCTGAGATTATTAAACAAGTGAAATTGTTGTTTAAAAGAACTTGAAAATGAGAAAATTCTTTTTCCCCTTTTATGATGTGAGTGATTCTTGGTTGTGTAAATAAATTTGACTCTGTACAAAAGAAAATGATCACGTTCATTTCATTTCAGTTATATCTGAAGAGTGGTGGAAGAATAGAGCAGTGAAACCACTCTGTTTTCATCTTTTTGCCCAAGGCATGCTGATGGGAACCTCTATTATAAATTCATTACTCTTAACTAGGAAAGGTTACAAAATAGATAACTTTCCTAGAAAGAGGGAAATGGAATATTCATATAAAGTGAAATGGAATTAAGAAGTTAATTTTTTAAATATAATGAACATTTTTGGTAAGAGCCTAATTTAGTTCAATAAACTAACGATTGGTATACACAATTATGTATGCAAGGATTCTGTTCTATTTAACCCTTAAAGAATATGTTTTTGGCAGCACCTGCCAGATTTGCTCTGCAAAACCTTTAGTGTCTTAAATTTGCTATTATTTGTAATGGTTCTTCTTGTTTTAGTTTGTTTAATTATGTCACTTTTTGTTGAAGTGTTTATATGCCTGATCCCTACCGTATTAACTCCCTGAGGGGCAGAACCTTTTCCATCTTTTGTGTGTATGTATAATGGGCACTTTAAGAATGCTAGTAATAATGCTGTCCTGTTGGTTGGTTACTCAACCATCGAATGACTAACTCAGCTGATGAGACCTCACAGGCAGTTAAGTCTACTTTCACAACCACAGATTGCTCTGTACACAGTCTTGCAAATGTGTGCTGTTGTCCAGCAGGGGACTGGACATAAAAAGAACATCTGCCTTTCCTATCTAGTGAAAAAAAAATCTCTAGGAGTAAACACACTTGGTTTCTAGGCATTTTGCTGCCACTGGAGATGACCTTAATAGACTCCCTTATCCGCTTTGGACTTCAGTTTCTCCATCTATATAACCCAGGTAATAAGATCTGTGCTCTGTACTCATAGGGCTGTGATGAGAATAAAATAAATTATTAACAGTTCATTTTCTTTTAAAATATTGGAAGCCCTATGCAACTAGAGATATAATTTGCTCCCCGCCCCCCCATTACCACTTCTGTTATTGTACTTATTTCATTGTCTTACAGTTACACAGCTTTCTGAGGATAAGGTCCGGATCTTATCCATTTCTGTATACCTGGTGCCTAGGGTATTGTCTGGCAAATAGTAGGCATACAGGAATACCTGCTTAATGAATAAGTAAATCTCGTTACTAGAGAAGAGATAAGAATTCTTGTTTTTATTCCTGCCTTTTTTGCCATGTAGCCATGATAATCAGTGAAGATAAGTTAGTTAACCTCTCTGGGCCTTGATTTTTTTCCTCTAAGAGATTTGGACTATCCTGGATGGTTCTTATTTCTGTAAAACACTCAGTTAAGGCTTTATGTAACTGTTACTAGACTTGCTAGTTTGGTAAACTGCTGTTTTCCCAGTGCCTAGAACAGTAGCTGCCTCGTTGTAGGGACAAGAAGTTCCCTTTTCCTATATAAAGAAAGGAGCAGGGATTCTGCGTCCCCATCTTTAAGTATGCTGAGTGCACACAGAATGACTGAACTCTAGAGCGCATTGGTCTTGTCCTACATGTGTGCTTTGGATTATGAAGAATGAGAAAACCTACATTGCACAGGTTTGTTTTAAATGATGTTATTACATTTTAATTTTCTAAAGCTCCGTTCATTTCTCTTTATTATCACCTGACTGACTTGGCCTGAACAATTAATAAAGATGATGTAGAATTGAACTTGCACAGCTCTGTGATCTGGGAGTGTGCTGGGCTTTCCCCAGTAGCCTCCATCTGTGGTGAGTGGGCTCACCTTAATAGATCCTCATTCCTTACAGGGCGGGAGCTACCAGTAAGCCAATGTGATCTTTAATTCCAATTCCAGGTCTTCCCTTTTGTCCCTGTGTATTTACCTTCAACTATTCTAGTCCTAGGTTAATGACAAATATCAATATGTAGCAATCGGAAAGCTTTATTTTAGACTTTGCCAAAGCTTAATACAGGAGCTCAGTGCACAGTGTTCTATAGCTTTTGCCTTCTCTCTTCATTTTAAATCAGTCCATCAGCCAATATGAATTTGTAAGCATGTGTTGTGAATTCATTATTGGCACGATAAAGGAGTACATGAGAAATATAAAACTTGCTCAAGGAGCTTACATTTCAGCCAGGGAAACAAAAATTGTTATTTAACAAAAAAAGGTACAAATAGAAGACAACATATAATAGCTGTACAATGTGCTGTGAGTAATGGATATATTATAAATTCATTAACAGGAACATTGAGGGAGCACTGGGAGGAAATAGTGTTCTTATAATGTTTGGAATGAGAAGATTTGGGGGTACATGGAAACATGTAGGTTAAAAAAGAGGAACAAAAGAATAATAATTTTCTATATTGTTAAGTACAATGTCTATTTTATCTTGCTAGAGAGAGCTTATATTCAAATTAATAGCTTAGGATGTTTGTAAATGCATCACTAAGTACAAGTAAAATTGTTTCTAATGACTATTTTAGGAGTTGTTAAATTGTATTTATTTTATTTTTTGGGTGTAAATGACAGTTATTTTAGTTATTTCTCTTACTATCTTAGTGGTATAGATATGGAAGGATCCTCTGAGGGGCATCTAACCTAGTTCAACCTCTGTTTTGTTGTTGTTTTTGATCTTCACCTGAGGGCATGTTTCTTGATTTTAGAGAGAGGAAGGGAGAGAGAAACATCAATGTGAGAGAGAAACATCTATTGGTTGTCTCCCATAAGTACCCCGACTGGGGATCGAACCTACAACCTTTTGGTGTATGGGACAACGACGATCCAACCAACTGAGCCACCCAGCCAGGCCTAGTCCAACCCTTGTTTATAGACAGATTTTAAAGCAATATCCAGACAGACTGGCTTCTCTTCTGTTCTTCATGTTTTCTAGGAAGAGAGAGATTCCACAAATTTTTGTGGTTACCCACTCCATTGTTTAGGGAAGAATTGGTTTCTCAAAACTAAAATTGAGAGCTATAGGGCAATTGGGTTTCTATATTTTAGAGAATGTAATTATTAGAGTTCAGAGTAGTTTTTTTGCTTTGAACTACATAGTAGTTTGTAGCAAGTGCCTATTTGGCCAAACTGAAAATCAAGAATTTTCTTTGACTGTGGCCAGGATAATCTTAACATCCTCAGACCTAAAGGATTCTCATTTTTTCCATTTAACAAGCATTAATTAAGTTTTTACTCTGGGCCAAGCCCTTTGCTGTGCACTGGGATCCAGAGATGAATCAGACATGCTCTCAGCCCTAGGGAAACGGACGGT